ACTAACAAGCATAGAGTTCATCATTTTTTTTTAATGTTCTATTTTTTCTTTCTGCTACACCATTTGATTTAGGAGAATATGGAAGCATAATTTCATGAATTATTCCTTCTTTTTCACAAATATCATTTATCGGTATATATTCACCCCTTCTATCTGATCTAACTCTTTTTATATTTTTATTTCATTGATTTTCTACCTCAGCTTTATATTTAATAAACATCTCAAAAGCTTCATCTTTATGCCTAAGTAAATAAACTTTAGTAAACCTAAAATAATCGTCAATAAATGTAACATAGTATTGTTTACCGTCTCTAGTTATAGTTTGTTTTAGATCTCCTAAGTCAATATGTATTGAACTTAATAATTTTGATTCTCTATTTACTGAAGTACAAGTTTTCTTAGTTGATTTTGTTTCAGCACATATTTCACACTTATTAAAGCATCCATTTTTAATACTAGAAATTAAACCAAGTGATTGCACTTTTTTAATGTAGGGAATGCTAATATGTCCAAGTCTACCATACCATAAATCAATAGAATCAATCATGTAAGTGGAAGAACTAGCATTTTCATTCAAAACATTGAAAATGTTAAGTACAAAGAGTCCCTGATTGCAATAACCCTTGCCCACAAACACATTATTTTTTGTTGTCACGATCTTGTCAGATTCGAATGACACTTTCACCCCAACCTTGGCTAATAAGGCTACAGATACCAGGTTTGCCCTTATATTGGGAACATGAAGAACATCGTTCAGAGCTAGGGTCTTGCCAAATGTGAGCTTGAGAAGGACTTTTCCTTTACCAAGAACTTGAGCAGTTCAAGAATCACTAAGGTATATTATCTCTTCTCCTTCCCCTATTTGAGTATAACAGGTAAAGGCATTTTTATTTGCATAAATATGCCTAGTAACACCTGAGTCTACAACCAAGTCCTTCACACTAGCCACCATATTTACTTGTGAAATGACTGCAGCAATTACATCATCGGACTCATCTGCTTTAACCAAGTTGACTCCTGGATTAGCAGGTTTGTCATTTCCCTTTGCTCTTTTCCTGCATTGTGCTGCATGATGCCCTGACTTTCCACAAACAAAACAACTACCTTTCTTTTTGAAGGTGGGATGAGGAGCTTTGGGTTTATGATCAGGTTTGTAGGTGTACCTTTGTTGATGCTAGGTTTTGCTTTGTACTAGGTTGGCTTTAGTTGCAACTTCCTTAGTTTTAGAGGCTTTTATTTTCCTTCGGGTTGTGTCTTCAATGATGATGTGCACAATCAAATCTGCAAGTGACAATTGCTTTTCCTTGTGCTTTAGTTGTTGCTTGTATCCATTCTAGGATTCTAGCAACTTCTTAATCAACAACCCAGCAACGAACTCTTCTTGCAAGTTGATTTTTTCAGTCTTCAAATCATCCACCAATTTGTGATATTCATTGATTTGACTTTTGATGTCTTTATCATCAGTCATCTTCCAGCGATAGAAGTTGCTAATTACGAACTTCTGTTTGTCAACATCTTCAGCAGTGTATTTAGCAATCATTGACTCCCATATTTGCTTTGCTTCCTTTTAGAGACTGTACACATCAAATAGCTCATTAGAAAGTGTGCTAATATTTGTATGCCTGCATACCTTATTTGCGTGCATCCATGGTTCCAGCATCTTGACATCATCTGGCTTGGAATCAGTTAGCACAAAAAACACTTTATGAACATCAAGGATTGAAAAAATCCTATCTTGCCACCTTTTGAAGTTTCTGTCATCAAAGACTTCTATTTTATAAATATCTAGAAATGGTTTGGCATATGAAGTCGAAGGCATAGAAGGAACAGTCAACGCAGTGGGAGCCATGGTTGAACCATTGACAGCTGTGGTGGCAGTAGGGGCAGAGGCAGTAGTAGGAATAGTGGCAGTAGCATTATCGACGTGGGAATCCATTATCCTTAAGATTATATGAGGTGATTATAGAAAACAAAGAATATAAGTAAAAAATAGTAAGGGGAAGTCTGAGGCGTCGTATCACTATCCTTAAGGATAATTTTTGCTCCTTCGGAGTATGAAACTCGATGCAAAAAGACTGTAGCGGTTATCCTCCAAGATTCAACAGACTCATTCCTAGTAGTTTGCACAAACTATTAAGGGATGAACAGAAACAGGAAAAATAAAAAGAAAGAACCCAGCTATCGAAGGAAGGAGGCGAAGAAGGAAGCAAAGAAAGCTTAAAAGCTGAGAAACTTTTAGTGTGTGTTGAGAGTAAAGGTGTGAGGCTGTATTTATAGGCATGGAGTGAGGTGAACGTTGCACCAAATAAGGTGTAGGTTGAACCAGATTAGGGAGTTGAGAAAAAAACTCAAGGAGTTAGAGAAAAACCTAATCAGTTTATTTACTAAGTCAGATAAACGTTGGAGCATAACTAGGTAAGGTAAGGTAGGTAGGTAGAGTTTTAGTATGATTCAATCAAGGCTGAAAACTTTAACAAATTAATGCCAAGATATAAAAGTTCATTTGGGTACAACCTATGCGCAGTGGGAGAAAATTTGAAATTTCTCAAGGTTTGGCCCAACCTTGTGTGGACACGAGCCCACTCCATTTTCCTTGCTTGTAATAAGCCTATAGTGTGTTTTCATATATAAGGCCTTCTCTTTTTAAGTATCTTGGTAATGTGGGATGTTTGAGCCTTATGAAAGATACTGATTTCCAACAAAAGTTGTTCTAGTAACCTCAACAGATGGGAGTATATATATCTTATTAGGAAGTGCAACCACAAGGAAAGTAACTCAAAGATTTAGGAGGAGGAAAAGGAACGGTATATGTTGAGCAAACGTATAATTAATGTAAACAAACATGTGTAAGGGAGCTTAAAAAAAAGTAGGGGAATGTGACATTATGTTTGGACTTTGGACCTGCTATATATCAAGTTGATGACTAAATTTTCAGTTGTTTGGTTGCAGAAAGAAGGGAAGGGTATCGAACTTACAGCCCTCCATATATAATGCATACTTCAGCAGTGAAAACATCCCCGCCTTTGGCTGCCTTTTTGGTGACCAAGGTGCTCCCATACCAACCTTGAAACGCCCACACTGCAAACGTGACTCCAATACTACCCATTGCCATTCCCTTGATCAATCCTTGTTTGATATCAAGCATCAATGTCGGTTCTAGTACAGTCTTATAGCTCTTCACCATGTGATCCTCTTCAACATAGGAGTAAACAGTTCTGATTGAAGACATCGTTTGCTCCACTATTCCACCAGCAATTGCGTAAGATTGCTGCATCTTCTCTGCAATCTCTGCTAAAAAGTTGCCATATACTATTGCAGGAATGATCAACATTGACAATGTGGGGATGCCAACAATAGCCAGTCTCCAACTAAGATATACAGCAGCCATTTGAGCTGTGATGAACATTGATATATTGGTGATGAAATTGGCTATCTGCATATGCGTGTATTGCATATTAACCGATTGGAGTTAGCATAAACAGGGAAAAGATTTCAATTGAAGAATAGTGGTTATCTGATAAGTCGTATATGTTAAAGGATTTCGACCTTCTCTGTAAGAACTCCTTGTATAGTCAGTGTGTCATTGGAAATACTGCTAATAACTTGGGAGGTCATGGATGGCCCATGATTTATATCAATAAAGCCAACATCTTGCCGAAGAACAGCTTCTAAATATTTCCTACCTAGTCTGGCGAGTTGCCTCTCCGCTGTTCGAGCCCAACAGAATCCTTCTATTGAAGACCAAAATAATATTGAGAACGACCATGAGTCAAGGCGTTGGCTGTCTATTTTGGACATTAACTTGGAGCAGATATATATTTTGTTTTTTCAATAAATTAATTTCAAAAACATATATAAGATCTACTCAACGAGCAGATATATTTGTTTCTCAAGCTTGTAACAATGACGATATAAAGCCTAAAAGCAATGTAAGAGTTGGTTTCTTCCTTCATATCATTGACGCAAGAGATACGCCTGGACCTCAACTTAGAATAGTAGCTTTAAGTTATGAATGTGAGAATGGAGATTATTATGCCTAATATTAGGCCAAAACTTGTATACGTTTCCAATCAAATGAGACTCGGCATGCCATATAGCATATACCCATGTCGCTATTTTGATCTATGCATTTATCGTTTTATCTCCTATCCAAAATACTGCTCATTTTTGCCTTGGTTACTATGTTTTTCTTGGTTATTTGACCAGATTCCAGAGAAGAGGGCGTCTACTTTTGGCATGATCACTAACTATATATAGGATGAGATAACTGGAAAACCCTCTATGATGTGTAAGCATATTATTATGATATGTGTCCATGGCTCGAGTAAACCTAATGTTGAAGTTTGACATGGAATTTGGAGAAGCAACAGCAAATAGGATGCACCCGACTTATTAAATATATAAATTTTGACAGGCTAGTCTCGAGACCCAATTAGAAAACTTATTTGTGAATATGCAGCAACACACAGGCCAAAAAAAGCAGAAGGTACCAAGAAATGCGCCTGAACCCACTCCAATAGCAACGTAATTAAATCCAATGCATACTGTTGTGTCAGCAGAAAAATACATACAGTGAGGCTATGAGGTTAACACAATATAGAAATAGTGTTTTAGCTTGCAGGAATATATATATGTTATTGACCAACCTTATTTATGACTTCCAAGTTAAAGGAAGCACCGGCTGCATAGCTATTCATTAGCTTGCTAAGAACTATCATGATCAAAGCCATGGCTAACCCATCTGCAACACATCCTATTATCCCCAACATCATTAACACCATGTCCTTCCAGTCTGCCTGTTTCAAAACCATCCTCAATGACCCACCTAGTGTTCTCGCCTCATCATCTGACAACTGATCGTGATCACCATTCTTCTTTTCCTCGCTGGACTCCTTCATTTTTACTCACTTTGTGTTGGACATTTTCAAATAAAAATATGATTTCATATCGAAATAGAAGGAAAGTTGTGACTGTTGGAAATTAAAAGAAGGGTTGTGTCTATTGAAAATTAAATCAATAGACACTATAAAATAAGAAAAGAGTCACGTCTGTTGGAAAAGACCAACAGAAGCAACTCTTTGAAACAGACACAAATAGTGTCTGTTGAGAACAGGCATCTATGCCTATAAAAGATGACCCTCCTTATCCAATGAAAAGAGAAAAACAGTAATATCTCTCCTTCTTCTTCCTCAAACATCTTCCAAGTTTTCTTCTATACTATTTTCCTGCAGAAAAAATATTATAGAAGTTTGATAATCTTGTTATACTCCGGTGAGTGCTCAGTGGATTGATTTCGTCAGTGCAAAACGCCATTAATCACTGGGCTTCATTGTATCTTTGAGGTTTATACGCCTGTAACTTTTTTGTACACTACAAGTGGGGGCGAATAAAACCTTAAGGACAGTGGCATTGATACACGCCTTGAAGCCAATTTCTAAGTTTTCAGTTTGGTGTTCTAACACTTTGGGTGACAGTACGGGTTATTTAGAGGCTCCTAATTGTACCGTCTCTATATATAGAAAGGTATTATGCTCTTCCTTATCTAGGGACTACCAATTTCTTTAATACTACGTGTACAACAGCAGCCCAGGCCTACCAATTTGCTTGCTTTATTAGCTTGATTAATTTCACTGTAATGAATTCATTTTAAACCTCTAAAAATACTCATTTGTTTTAAATGAACACAATGATCTTAGTGAAGCAATTTTGTCAGGATCAGCAGTTATTTTCAAGTAACTCAACTAGCAATATTTACTTATATTTTGTTTCATTTTCAAGAGGTTAAAGTAAATTAGCATCTGCGTCCAGTTATGATGAAAAATGATATTGAGATTATCAAAGCTTTGTGCTTAGTGCCGGCATAGCTGATAAACTACAAACACAAATGTTTGCATGTATAGTCGATGAGTTAGCTGACACATTGTAAGCCTCATTAATCACTATCAACAAGATCCCATTGCGGCTTAGACTTCTTTCTCTTGAGAAAACTTGTTTTAACATTTCCTATATGTCCATTTTCACAACTACCGTCCTGACCTCTTGCTATATTTTGTGGATATACTTCCTCACAAGTTCATGCAATTTGGTGTTATGTTGTGTTGACAACCCCTTCAACTGCTCGGTTAAAATGGATTTCAAGAAAAATAACATTCTAATATGCACCACAACATTCAAAATGAAAATTGTGAAAATATATGAATAGTTTTATCTATTACTGTAACTCAACCTTGAATGCACTGGTAAGTGGCCGTCAACGAGGGCATATCTTGCTACCAAGATATTGGCTTAATTGGTAAGTTTAGTCTCGGAGATACTTGACTTTGGTTATTAATTTATTGTTTTCTTTTAAATGATTCTATATCAAGGTAATGTTTGGTATGGGATTATACTTTCATATTCTTTGCATTATATTCAATTAAAATACATTGCAGCGATTGACTTTATTTCATTGGTAGTTCAATGTTTTATTCCTTCCTTTACGGTTATTCAACTATTAAAAGAACATTGTTCTTGTTATTAACATAAGAAGAGACTGATCATATATTATATATGATAAATTTTACGTTTTGATAAATTTACCACGTTAAAAATAAACTAAAAATTTTTATGAAGAGAGAGAATTTGAGAAAAAAACATGAAGATAAACGAACAACACATCGATTTATTTTTATTAGAAATCTGTCTTCTTAAAGGCAACAATTAGTTACTATATTGTTACAAAGAGAAAACCCTTGAATAAAATCTAATAACATAAACCAATAAGAAAATGAAATGTAGGCTCCATAACTGCTACTATATACAAAGTACCTTTTGACCCAAACACAAACAATGAATGTGGTATTTTAAAGAGCAATATTTTCTATATACACTTGTAACATTAAAAACGATGTCGCATGGGTTAATGAATCATGTGACCCACTTACACATGATTGTCTTCCTCGTTACAACAAGGGGATCAACTAGTGTGAACAACAATCAAAAACATCTCTATGCACAAACAAAACTCATTTTCTAACACACCTCTTTTAGTTTGGTCTTGCACAAACCCATCTTTGATATGAAAGTAACAAATTTAGCTTTGCCTATTCCTTTGGTGAAGATATTTGCAACCTATTCATCTATGTTGCAATGTTTCACACTTATTTCTTCATTCTTTATAGCATGTCTTATTACATGATATCTGACTTTGGTATACTTGGTACGAACATGCTGTATTGGGTTTTAGGCAATAGCTATTGCAGATTGGTTGTCAAGCCAAATTGTCGTTCCATTGACCTGTTCAAAACTCAAGTCATATAGAATTTTTCTTAGCCAAACTACATGGTTGGCAACCCAAGCAACAATCACATATTCGGCTTCAACAGAGGCTTGAGCCACCAACTCCTATTTCTCTGAATTCCATGCAAATACAACACTTCCAAGTGAAGAACAAAAACCTATGGTGCTTTTGGCATCATCTGGATAATTGGTCCAATCATTATCACAAAATCTCATACGTTTTCCACTTTCATAATAGAAATACTTGAGTCCATATTTTAAAGTTCCTTTGATATATCGTAGGACTCATTTTGCTACTACCATATGAGTTTCTAAAGGCTTTTACATGTACCTTCACAGAACACTTATTGCATGCATTATGTTAGGTCTAGATGCTATTAAATACAATAAGACAATTCATCAAACTTATATATTGAGACTAGTTTTAATTGAGCATCATCTTCTCTATATAGTTTATTTTCAAAAACCATAGGAGTATTATCCAGTTTACAAGACTCCATATAAAACCTTTTAAGAAGTTCCTGAACATATTTGCTTTGGTGAAGACAAATATATTTAGGTTCTTGTATGATTTCAAAATCCAGGAAGTAATGCATTTTTCCTAACTTAGTCATATCAAATTCTTGTTTTATTTGGATATTGAAAATTTTCAACTCAAAACTGTTAGGTCTTATCACCAAAATATCATCAACATAAAGGGATATTAGTAGACTTAGTCATGTGAGCTCTTGACATACAGCATTGGTTCATTAAAGCTACATCTAAATCCTTTCTTGAGCAAGTAGCCTTCAATTCTTTCATCCCAGACTCCTGGAGCCCGTCTTAAGACATACAAGGCTTTAAAGAGTTTACAAACTTTGTCTTCATTTCCTTGCTCCATGAACCTCTTTGGTTGCTCAATATAAACGTCTTCCTCCATCAAGCCATTAAGAGAAACAGACTTTACATTTAGGTGCCATATAAACCATTTTTCTCTTGTAGCCAAAGCACATAATAATCAAATTGTATCATTGCAAGCTATTGGTGCGAAAGTCTCTATGAAATCTATCCCATATGCTTGTGAATAGCTTTTGGCTAAAAGTCTGGCCTTGAGATTATTCATTGAACCATCTGCATTTAGCTTGATTCAATATACCCACTTGAAACCCGTGGTTCTTTTATTTTTCTTGATTGCATCCATTTTGACAAGCATTACTTCTTGCCAAGCTTTGCTTTTTGCTGCATCAAGGTAGATAGTGGATTCAACAATGGACACATTGCACTTTTCATAAAGTTCTTGCAAGCATAATCATCATCGTCTTCTTCATTAGTCTTCTTGGCATTCTAGGCTTCATCATTGTTTGTATTTTGAATACCTTAAACTTGGTTAATCTTCTAGTTCCATCTCATGTCTTTTTTAAACCTTACATCTCTTGACAAAAATGGCTTGCTTGTGTGCATATTGTAAAGTTGATAACTTTTAGAAGCCTAGCTATTATAACTTGTCACAAGCACATAAATCACTCCTTTTGGGGAATGCTTAATGCCATTTATACTCAAATAATTCTTAAATTCATTTGAGTTAAACTCACCCCCGTTATTTGTTCTGATGGCTTTTATTTTGCAGTTTGCCATATTCTCTACCAAGGCTTTAAACCTCTTGAACTTGGCAAACATATCAACTTTTACTTTTTGAAAATAAACACAATTATACCTTGTAAAGTCATCAATAACCAACAAGTAGTAGAGATTTCCATTGAGAGATTTGGCTATCAGGGGACCTCTGCTTGAAGGAGTTATAACTTGTCACAAGCACATAAATCACTCCTTTTGGGGAATGGTGTCCTTGTTTGTTTGCCAAGTTGGCATGTCTTGCAAACTTTTCCTAAGTTTATGGCTTTTGGCAACCCATCAATCACGTTTGAAGTGGCCATGCGACTTAATGAGTCATGGTTCACATGACCCAATCTTTTATGCCACAGTTCAATGTCAAATAAAATATTTTGTATGCTTGTTATCTTATTTTCATCCAATTCACAAGAAAGCATTTATTTTGCATTCCCACTGTGAACAATTCATTTCCATTTCATCAAATATCTTGCAACATCTATCTTTAAACATTAAAACATAACTAATTTCCACCCATTGGCCCACATTAAGAAGGATTTGGCTTACCTCTAGTGTATAAATGACCTCTGCAATTGACTTACCACCAGTCACAATTTATAGTCCCACAATTCCAATACCTTCAATTTTTAAGTAGTCATTAATTCCTGTCTCAACTTTTGATGTATAGCTCTTGTCAAGGTTGATAAAATTTTCTTCTTTGCTTGTTATATGATTGAAGCAAGCATTATTAATGAGCGAGGTATCTGCTTTATTTAATTTATCAGGTTTCCTCATCATGAACAAAAAATCCATTTTCTTCTTCATGTTATTCCACCACCGATACTTTCTCTTCATTATGCGTGCCTTTTAATGGCAAACTTTTTCAATGTAACCCATTTGTTTGCATGATCTACACCTAACATTAGGTCTAAACTAATAGAATTTTTCTAAATGATTTTCATTTTGCAATAAGGAAAGGAAGGAAATTTTGCTTTGTATTTTCCTTATTTTCCATCAGTGCCTTTCTTTTCTT